TTCTGCTAGCACTGCTGCTGACTGGTCTGTAGATCCATGTTCTGGTTCAGACTCACTGTGTTATTTGTTTTACAGTAGCTCTTCCTAGTGCGTTGAGTTTAGTTTTCTTCCTCTTTAGGCTTGACTCGTGCTCTGATGCCAGGTTTAGCTGTTGCAAACCAAAGGGTGTTGGAGGACAAACGCTCACCTTGTCATTTTTTTTCTTTCTACCTTTCACACATCTGGAGGTTAACAAGGACTACAGCCAAGATACACAATAAAACCTGGACTTTTTTTCTTAACTGTGTGATCTCTCAATGTCCTTTTCTGGACAACTGCTTTTCAATTTGAAACATTCAGTCAGTGCACTGAAGTAATGTTGCTTTATTTGGTTGGCTTCATGCACTTATTTGTTTTCTTTGGCCAAATGTGGCCAATAAAGGGTTTCAGTTTCCCGTTTCAGATGTCATAGCATTGAGGTTGAAAAAACTGTTTAATGTTTTTAATTAGGCAGGGCTGGGATGAAGTGCTTACCATGGTAAAACAAGTTAAAACATTCAAGCATAATAGTAAACCAATCTCCTTTCTTCAGAAATAATGTAATACAATCATCAGTTAACATGCATCAATGTTTTTCCTTTGGTCAGTTTTGACTGACAGGTGAACAGAACATTTTTCCCTCCAAACTAAATCAAAAAATGAAGAGCTTCAACTGTATTCAGCCTTTAAATCCACTAACAGTTGGATTTTTATTTAATGGTTCTAGTTTAATAATCAAATAAAGGTTAGGGACCTATGAAATCAGTTAACTTTGGGGATCCTGCACTCATAAAAGTTAAACTTGTTTAATCTCAGGTTGTACAGAACTCTCAATACATTAGCAAAAACCTGCTCTAGTTTTTTTTTTTTGTACTTTCTTTGGCATCTTGCATTTTAATCTTTAAAAAATGTCAATCTTCTGATCCTTGTGTTAAATAATTGGAAGCTTTTTTGATCCCATTCTTCATTCATGCTGGTGTTTTTGGGCAAAACTGATAAAAGGCCCTTTCCCTCTGAGGGGATTTTATCTGGATGCCTCAGGGGACTGATGGAAGCCATTAACTTTCATTTCTGTAAAAACATGTTCCTCCTGCTTTCAACCAGTCATCCTTTTTCATTTTGATTTTGTTTTAGATATTTTTCTTTGACATACAGTGGCTACGTAAACTATTCAGACCCCTTTAAAATTTTTACTCTTTGATCATTGCAGCCATTTGTTAAAATCAAAAAAGGTCATTTTATTTCTCATTCACTCAAAGTCAGTACCCCATCAAGACAAAAAAAACAAATATAGAAATTTTAGCTAATTTATTAAAAAAGAAAAACTGAAATATCACATTGTCATAAGTGTTCACACTCTGCTGTGACACTCATATTTAACTCTCATGCTGTCCATTTCTTCTGTTCCTCTATGAGAAGGTTCAGCTCCTATATTCTAAGGTTTTATGGCAGTTGGCCAACTAGTTAAAATGCATTACTGCCATCAACTGATGAGTGAAACAGGAAACGACTTGATTTGGGTCTTTCTGACAGGGATGGGATTATTTTTGCAGTTATAGCGTAAGCTCACCTTTCGTACCACTTTACATCTTTTGCACAGTTACAGTATTTAATTTGAACTTCTTTCCCACACTTTCCATATTCATGCTCTCCATGCACACTGTCCACACCATTGTTTTCCCTTACATACAGCTGCTATAAACATCTCAGAGGCAGAGGATTGAACATTTTCACATTGTAGCTCATAACCAATGAAAGCCTTGCTAGGTAAAGTCTCCTCTTCGAATTTTATCAACACTGATAAGCCGCCCGTCACACCTCCATTTCCTGTTTTTAACCTTTTCACCTCTTTTGCACCACTTATATTTGTCAGTTACTTTTAGAGGCACTCCTCCGATCACACCCCTGCTAATCCTTGTGTTCTCCACCAAGCTGCATTGAACTCTTCCCCTCAATCATGTTTATGCATATGGCTTTGCCTTGTTGAGCCTGTCTCTGCAGTTAATTAACAGGTCTCCCCTATAAAGTATTTTGGCACTTTTGACTTCTATTGATTTTGTTAACTACGCCTGATTTCAATCCGCAAAAGAGTCTCCCTGATTAACTAATTTGAGCATTATTTTGTACCGGTAATTATTTGTTTTTTTCTGCAGAATTTCTAGATTGTTGTGTGCTGGACACCCCTTCAATTGGTCTCTGCTTTTTCTCATTTGTTTATTCTCTTCTTTTTCAGTCTTCTTTACTTTCACTATTTCCTTCTTCCATCCCACGAGAATCGCTTTCTGTTTCCTCACTACTCATGACCGAGAACATTTCTCCACAGGCGACTTAGTAACACTCGTCCTGTCCAGGAATGCTCCTTCATTGGGAGTCAAGCTTTACTTAATAAAACTGATTGGACTTGATTAGGAAAGGGACACATCTGTCTATATAAGACCTTCAGCTCATGGTGCATGTCAGAGCAAAGAATCATGAGGTCGAAGGAACTGCCCAAAGAGCTCAGAGACAGAACTCTGGCAAGTCAAACATCTGGACAAATTACAAAAGAGTTTCTGCAGCACTTGAGATTCCTAAGATTACGGTGGTCTCCATAATCCTTAAAGGGAAGAAGGAACGACCAGAACTGTTCCTAGACCTGGCAGTCCAGCCAAACTGAGCAATCATGGGAGAAGAGCGTTGGTGAGAGAGATGAAGAAAAACCCAAAGATCACTGTGACTGAGCTCCAGAGATGCAGTAGGGAGATGGGAGAAAGTTCCGCAAAGTCAACTACCACTGCATCCCTCCACCAGTTGGGGTTTTATGGCAGACTGGCCTGACAGAAGCCTCTCCTCAGTGCAAGACATATGAAAGCCTATATAGAGTTTGCCAAAAAACACATGATGGACTCCCAGACTATGAGAAAGATTATCTTCTCTGATGAGACCAAGATTGAACTTTTTGGCGTTAATTCTAAGCGGTATGTGTGGAGAAAACCAGCCACTGCTCATAACCTGCCCAATACAATCCCAACAGTGAAACGTGGTGGTGGCAGCTAGTGATGGGCAAGTGAAGCCTCATGAAGCAATGAAGCTTTCCAACGCAAAGTGTTGAAAAAAGTTCATTACTCGATGCTTCATTCATCTCTCACTAGTGACATCTGCTGGTGAAACTGTAACAGCCTTGTTACTCAGTTGGATCATACTTCCAAATATTAGGAAATGCAATATTGTCACAAAGTTTTCATCAAACTCATGTTTAGTAAGAGGAGAATCCTATTTAATTATCATGTTTTAATGATTAAAATGATTTGTAGCCAATCTAATCCTTGACCATCAGTGGTTTTCTTTTATGTCATGGACTTATTAGACAATGAAGATATGTGTTACTTTAATGTATTGAGAACTGAGTGACTGTTGCTGCAGACTCTGTATACTTTGAGCTTGAAACTTGCTTCCTTAAAGACAGAATTTGTTTAAAATCATCTCTTCCTAGGAGTTCTAGTTCTGATTCTTAATATTAAGTTACACATAGAGTTTGCCTCTTCTAATGGCTTTTAGTCTGGTTTTGATGTGTGATTCTGATGCATCTCCTGATTAAACAAAAGAAAATATAGAAATTTCTGGATTTTAGGTTTAATTGTTTTTATTTAGGAATAGGACTTTTTTCACTGTTTCAAGTTGTGATTGTGATCTGTCATCTCATAATACTCCCACATATGAGAGGTTTTTCTCTTTTTTGACAGCTCCATTTCAACCACTGCTGATGAAAACAGTTCTGCTGATACTAAACCACCTACTACAACCCACGATAAACAGGATTCATCGCGCTTTTATTTTGAAAACCGACACGCAAAATGAAGCAGTCACGTGACCAATGCAATGCGAGGCCTCGTTTGTTGCCAGTCACGTGGTTTTCAACAAGACAACACAGGCCTCGAAGCGGGGCTTCATTGACACGCCCCCTTATTACTCGGTACAAGCCTCGAAGCCTGGCTTCAGATAGCCCATCACTAGTGGCAGCATCAGCTGCAGGGACAGGACGACTGGTTGCAATTGAAGGAAAGATGAGTGCGGCAAAGTACAGAGATATCCTGGAAGAAAACCTCTTCCAGAGTGCCCAGGATCTCAGAATGGGCTGAAGGTTCACCTTCCTACAAGACAATGACCCTATGGCTTGGGAACAACTCTGTGACCATTTGTGACTGGCCAAGCCAGAACCCTGACCTAAACCCAAAATTGATGATACAGCTCCCCTAAGGTCCTGCATCACTCTAAAAGAACTTAGAAATGTGTTGTTTTTTTGAAAAAAAAAAAAAAACGTATGCAATGGTTTATTCATGAGAGCTCTACACAAATGCTTTGCTTGCGGGTCTGGCAAGGGTTGAAAGCTTTTGGCCAAAATGAATTTTTTCTTCTTTTCCATTGTGACAATATGTAGAGGGCTGATGTTCAAGTCTTTGGTTGCTTCATCAAGGTTTGGAGTCAGGATCTACCAAAAGTTGAGTTCAAGTATTTCAATGTATAGTCATGATAAAACAGAATAGACCAACATGAGTTTTATCTGCTGCAATATTGATGTTGCCAAGCTGTGATCAAGGAAAGGCTCAGCCAAATGAATAAATAAATTCACCCGGAGCTCAGTTTTAACATCAATAATTCATGAGATATGATTCAAAGAATGAGATCCTGTATACAGGTATCTCAGATTAGCATTGTTTGTAGGGCCTCTGTAGATAAAATTATCTTAAATCTGACTGCGTAAAAAAAAGCTGTTTTGAACAGGACTGTACAGTAGAAGGCGCTATTTTTTTTCTAGAGAGTTTGTCCAACAGAGTTTGAGGTAGGAACCAATGAGTGCAGACACCCTGTGAGCAGTCGGAATAGAGGCACGGACATACCGGAAGTTTAGACGGTAGCTCTGGGTGAACTGTGACAGCATCGCATCAAATTAAAACAATATTTCCCCAATTTTTTTTCCCATATCGCTCCCCTTTCCCTCACCCATGGCGTCCAATTCGAACATAGACATCGAGGGAGCGACCCAGCACCTCCGAGACATCTTGAAACTCGACCGCTCGGGTAGCAGCGCCGGTAAGTCTGGGACTGCTGCACTGCTAGGCCGCAAAAGCTAAAGGGGGTTAGACCCAAGAGTTCACCGGTGTAGAGTGTTCTCAAAAGCATTTTTTTTTTTTAGCCGTTGACAGAACACCACACCAGGAGGGACATATTTTATACAGTGAATATATTATATAATGTTTTAACCTTTGAAGAATGCGGAGAATCGTTTCTGCGTCGCCTTACTGCTAGCAGCTAGCTTATGCTAGTCTGTTTTCTGATGGCAATGGGTCCCTGCTGCCAAAACATGTATGTAGTTGAATTTTTTTAAATCTAATTTTGAACATTTGTTAGAAATCTTCTCTGCAGTGTAGACCCGAATCTGAAAATTGTTATAACAGCTTAAACAGTTACATTAGTATAAACGGTAACTTTTTATTTGAAAGGGCTTTAAAAATTTTTTTTTTTTTTTTGTACTGGACATCAGTCAGTTTCCCTTGAATGATGTCAGGGGATCACTCAGAGGAAACTTGAGTTATCCCCTGAAATTGAATGATTAAACATCATTAAGTATGTTAATAAGTCTTGAAACACATTAAAGTAATTTAGATTTTTTACAAATATTTAAGATAACATGGTATTAATTGTATTTTATGTTCCCATTCCCTAAGGATGATCAAATTCGTTCAATCTGTCACATAAAAAAAATCTTAAAACTAAAAAATTTTTATTGCGTTGTAAACACAATCTCACACAAATAATTGTGTTAACCTTGAAAATGCCCCTTAATCTTCTGAAAGTAAGAGACAAAGTAGTTATTTATTCAAATATAACACGTTTCTGTTAATACAAGCAGTATTTACATTTAAACAATCTTTGGAAAGCAAAGACTACATTGAATAGAAATTAAATACTAATAAAAATGTAGGGAAAACATTTGGAGGACAAATTTAACTCTTGCATTAAGATAACTAAAATGTAAAATGTCACATTAAACAATGAATCCCTCTGTTTTAAATTCTGTCGTATTATGGTAGAGCTATTGTATTATCCTTTACATTAATTTATACATTAGCTAGATATAGTTATCAAGTTTGAGTCCCTCTTATTAGTTGCTCATAGATCACTTAAATCTTAGGTGCTTGCAAAAAGAATCAAGCATTGTAATTCCCAGAATTAGAAGGGAAATATAATACCTAAACCAATAAAAAAACAAACTATGATTTATATCTAAAAAAATATAGTATCTAGTATGTTCAGTGAGGGAAATAAGTATTTGAACACACTGTTATTTTTGCAAGTTTTCCCACTTAGAAATCATGGAGGGGTCTGAAATTGTCGTCATAGGTTCATGTCCACTGTGAGAGACATAATCTAAACAATCCAGAAATCACAATGTATGACTTTTTATAACTATTTGTACGATAACGGTAACCTTGGAAATGGTGGTCCCAGCTCTTTTCAGCTCCTCCTGTGTAGTTCTGGCTGATTTCTCACCTTTCTTAGGATCATTGAGACCCCACAAAGTGAGATATTGCATGGAGCCCCAGTGAGAAGGAGATTGTCATGTTTAGCTTCTTCCATTTTCTACTGATTCCTCCAACAATGGATCATTTTTATTTTACCAAGCTGCTTGGCTATTTCCTGGTATCCCTTTCCTGCCTTGTGGAGTTGTACAAATTTGTCTCTGTCTTTGGACAGCTCTTTTGTCTTGGCCATGTTAGTAGTTGGACTCTTACCGTTTGTATGGGGTGGACAGGTGTCTTTATGCAGCTAACGACCTCAAACAGGTGCATCTAATTTAGCATAATAATTGGAGTGGAGGTGGGCATTTTGAAGGCAGGCTAACAGTTCTTTGAGAGTTCAACTTCTAGCTGATAGACAGGTGTTCAAATATTTATCTGCAGCTGAATCATAGTAATAAATAGTTAAGAAAATAATACATTGTGATTTCTGAATTTTTTATATATTTTTTTAGATTATGTCTGTTGCAGTGGACATGCAGCGACGATGACAATTTTTGACCCCTCTATGATTTCTAATTGGGAGAACTTGCAAAATAGCAGGGTGTTCAAATACATATTTTCCTGTATATAAACTACTTGGGAAAATATTAGTTCTGACTAACAAAAGGCAGGTCATATTAGAGTGTAACAGACTTAAACATCATTAATAATAAAAATAACCCTAACTTGATAGTCTGTTTGCTTGTCAAGAAGATTGTTTATGTAGTGCCAAAAAAAAAATCACAAAGACTACAGGTGCTGGTCATAAAATTAGAATATTCTTGAAAAAGTAGATTGATTTCAGTAATTCCATTTAAAAAGTGAAACTTGTATATTATATTCATACATTACATACAAACTCATATATTTCAGATGTTTATTTTGTTTAATTTTGATGATTACAAATGACAACAAATTAAAATCTCAAATTCATCATATCAGAAAATTAGAATATTGTGAAAAGGTTCAAAATTGATGGCCCCTGGTGCCACACTCTAATCAGCTAATTAACTCAAACCACCTGCAAAAGCCTTTAAATGGTCTTTCAGTCTAGTTCTATAGGCTACACAATCATGGGGAAGACTGCTGACTTGACAGTTGTCCAAAAGACGACCATCGACACCTTGCACAAGGAGGGCAAGACACAAAAGGTCATCGCTAAAGAGGCTGGCTGTTCACAGAGCTCAGTGTCCAAGCACATTAATAGAGAGGCGAAGGGAAGGAAAAGATGTGGTCGAAAAAAGTGTACAAGCAAGAGAGATAACCGCACCCTGGAGAGGATTGTGAAACAAAACCCATTCAAAAATGTGGGGGAGATTCACAAAGAGTGGACTGCAGCTGGAGTGAGTGCTTCAAGAACCACCACACACAGACGTATGAAAGACATGGGTTTCTGCTGTCGCATTCCTTGTGTCAAGCCGCTCTTGAACCACAGACAGCGTCAGAAGCGTCTTGCCTGGGCTAAAGAGAAACAGGACTGGACTGCTGGTGAGTGGTCCAAAGTCATGTTCTCTGATGAAAGTAAATTTTGCATTTCCTTTGGAAATCAAGGTCCCAGAGTCTGGAGGAAAAGAAGAGAGGCACTTCATCCACGTTGCTTGAAGTCCAGTGTAAAGTTTCCACAGTCAGTGATGGTTTGGGGTGCCATGTCATCTGCTGGTGTTGGTCCATTGTGTTTTCTGAGGTCCAGGGTCAACGCAGCCACATACCAGGAAGTTTTAGAGCACTTCATGCTTCCTGCAGCTGACCAACTTTTTGGAGATGCAGATTTCATTTTCCAACAGGACTTGGCACCTGCACACAGTGCCAAAGCTACCAGTACCTGGTTGAAGGACCATGGTATCCCTGTTCTTAATTGGCCAGCAAACTCTCCTGACCTTAACCCCATAGAAAATCTATGGGGTATTGTGAAGAAGAAGATGCAATACACCAGACCCAACAATTCAGAAGAGCTAAAAGCCACTATTAGAGCAACCTGGACTATCATAGCACCTGAGCAGTGCCACAGACTGATCGACTCCATGCCACGCCGCATTGCTGCAGTAATACAGGCCAAAGGAGGCCCAACTAAATACTGAGTGCTGTACATGCTCATACTTTTCATGTTCATACTTTTCAGTTGGCCAACATTTCTATAAATCCTTTGTTTTTATTGGTCTTCAGTAATATTCTAATTTTCTGATATGATGAATTTGAGATTTTCATTTGTTGTCATTTGTAATCATCAAAATTAAACAAAATAAACATCTGAAATATATGAGTTTGTATGTAATGTATGAATATAATATACAAGTTTCACTTTTTAAATGGAATTACTGAAATCAATCTACTTTTTCATGATATTCTAATTTTATGACCAGCACCTGTAGATTATATTTTACTAAGCAACTTTATTTTTGGAGGGTTTTGACATGGCATAAGTTGTTTTGTTGTTCTTTATGCTTTTTTATGGTCCAGCTACGGTCTTTGTAATAGATTTTATTCTCCATTTATCTATTATATTACTTTTGTTATTAGGTAGTAGAACCATGTCTGACAGATCCATCAGAGATATTATTGCAACAATAAACTCACTGCTAATGTCATGAACAGCTGTAGAGATGCTCATTGCCTAGTAACTAACACTTCTGACCATAGCTGATATTCATCTGTGATCATCAGGGTGATAACTAGGCTTTTGGAACATTTGCCCCTCAATGACCACATATAACCAGAAATGTTCTTGTGTTTTTTCTCAGGTAAAGGATTTTTTATAAGCTAGTTCATAGTTGATGTGATTCTGCCTGTCAATAAAGGAGGCTCTTTTGGAAATGACAAATCAGCAACCTCCCAAACATTGTCTGGATTCTGCATTACAATTGCATAGTGGACATGCAAACTTTGTTAAAAGAGCAGATTATCAATGGCCAAATGTCATCAATGCGGAATATGCTGTTCAAACACGTTACTTCAAGAGTTGGGGGTTGGAACACAGATTTTTTTCTATTCCTCTCTTTGCTTTTGCTACTGTAAAAAACATCTGAACAGCACTCAAACTTCACTCACAGCCAACATGCATGTTCTTTTTTGTTTTTCGTCTGTCTGTGTAAAAATGTGGGCATTCATTTTGATTTGTCTGTCGTTTTGAAATGATGTCACTGACCTGATATGGCAAAAAAAATAGGTCTGTTGTCTTAGTCTCTAGGTTTTCTGATCAGGATAAGCGGTGCTTAAGTTTGTTGCTAGTAAAATCATCCATTTGTTGGGGCTTTGTTTATGCTGGCTTGCATTTCCACTGGAGCAGAGCAATCTGACTATTGGTTTCCAGTCAGTTGCTTAGTGTGGTCCTTTCTTTTGCGACTCATTTTCACTTATTTCATAATGCAATTTTAAGGTTTCTTTGAGCCAAGGATGGAAATGACTAGAATCAAAATCGCTGCAGACAGCCAGCTTTTCAGAAACATACCGAGCTCTGAAATACAATCGATAGTCATATTTATTATTGCTGCTTCACTGCAGAACCGTTTAAATTGGCTGCATTCAATCATATTT